GCAGGTGACTTTTATAGTTTTAGCATTAAACGTATTTTGGTTGTTTTTTCTGAGCCGTGTTTGAACTGATGCAGGTTAGTTTGTGTTCGAGCTACTTTCTAAACAAACACGTTTCCTGAAAGTGGAGCTTTTTCCCTTTTAAACGAAGCCTCTCGTCAGGATTCTGGACTCAGAGTTCAGGTGTTACGAGCGTTTCCATTCGCCTCGTGTGCTCCAGTTTGGCCGAGCAGAGGCTAAAGACGGTAACAATGTGCAGATCCTCTCACGGTGTCACCTTTGTGCTAAACTGTGCTCCGTTTGTCGCGCTGACATGAAGCCTCAGGGCTGCTGACTCTGAACGCCGGCCGCTTGGGTTTCCGCCGAGCGTGTCTTTCGTCGTCACAAACGTTTCAATGACTCTCTGCCGTGACTTGGCGGCGAGCGGCGCTGGGCGTAAAGCGAACCGAGGATTTCATAAGCGGCATGTGGAGCTGCTGCTGTCCTGGTTCCTCCTATTTTCATCCCATCTGTCCTTCCCCAGCTCCGGCAGATTTGCACCTCGATCAGCATCTTCTGTTGGCACTCCGTTGTCCCGCCATGTGTTTCCATTTGTCAGGCCCAGGTCCTCCTCAGCGCCCCACCTGAGCGTCATATGAAACCGGTTCCCAGAAAACATCCCCAGCGCCGGCCCAGCAGCTATCGGGTGTTTGAGCGTCGAGATTTGAAGCTAAACCGCTGATTTATGCCGCAGTGACCTGAGAGAGGAGGTCGGACAAAAGGAGGCCAGAGTTCACCGATTCCTGCTCTGTGTTCTCACGTTACCCCCAAGATGTTGACCTGGATTCAGGTCCAGCTCACATCTGGACGGTTCAGAGTCCAGTCAGACAAAACTCAAAAGGTTTCAGGTGTAATTTGAGTCATTTTGGGCAAATCTGGACAAATTGTTAGTCGTGATGAACAAAATTTAGGGAGTTGCAGACGTACTTTGAGTCATTTTAACCATTNGGTCTACATGAGCCCCCCTCAGCAGGCCTCCTGGTTTCAGTGCAGAGATGAGCGAGTCAATCAAGGCCGCGCTCCACAGCTTTTATCTCAGAGGCCTTTGTGTTGAAAAGACGCTTCTCTCTGGGACGCTTATAGCCGCTCTGGGAGGAAACTCGACTCCACGTCGGCCTCCGTGGACTCGACTCGTAGAAATATTGCCCCACATGCTGCACACAGCTCGGCCGTGGCTGGCTCGCGTCCCGACCGGCCCGAGTGGAGACACTCATCATCCCCCTGACAGATCGGGGCGACGGAGCTGCAGCCTAACAAGGCCGACCGGCCGAGGCCGCTGACAGCTTGACGGATGGAGGCCGAGTAAGCAGAAGAGCCGAGGACGAGGCCAGCCGTCCCGCAAACATCACCTCAGGGCTGCAGGAACAGAACCGAGCAGCAGGTGGAGCAGGACGGTGCAGCGAACATGCCAGACAGTAAACACATGATAACGGCTGCACTTGTTTATTGGCAGCGTACGAAGCCTGCCAGCTCCGCAGCTCGACCCGCTCTCCACCCGACCCGACCCGGCCGGCCTCCTCCTGCATCGGCCAGCTGATGCATTTTTCATGTTTCCTTATTCAGGAGAAGCAGCAGCTCAGAACGTCAGAGCTGAGGTGGTCTCTACGGGTCATCTACAGCGATTAAAAGTCCTGATCAGGTGACTCACAGGTGGACGAGTCTCAGGCCTCGGCGAGGGTTTCACGTTTCGCTCATGAACTCCGTTTGCCATCAATCTGGCTCTGATATCGGTGTCTGATTTAGCAGATATCAGCCTCAGGCCATGTGACCACTTCCTTCAAATATCTGGACAAATATCTGTGACGAGCTGCTGAGCCTGGTCCTCCACCGAGCTCCGGGTTTAGACACAAACACCAGGTTTAGGAGCTTTAAGGACGCCTCCTGAAACCAGAAACACGATAAATGCAGCATGATGTGGAAAAAATGACAAAAAAACTGGAAAACTGTCGCATTCAAAAGCTGTAAAAACAAGAAAACAACAGCTGATGTCTGGGAAATGTTTAGATTTGTAGCTGTTGACCTTTTTTTCTCATTCTGGACAAATTTTGAGTAATTT